CCGAAAGAGGGAAGTTGGGGGCAACCAGGCCTGCAAGGGAGAGCAGTTAGGGGTGACCAGGCCTGTAAGGGAGGGCAGTTAGGGGTTGCCAGGCCTGCAGGGGAGGACAGTTAGGGGCAAACAGGCTGGCAGGGGAGCAGTTAGGCATCAATCAGGCTGGCAGGGGAGTGGTTAGGGGGTGATCAGGCTGGCAGGCAGAAGCAGTTAGGGGCAATCAGGAAGGCAGACAGGCGAGCAGTTGGGAGCCAGCAGTCCTGGACTGTGAGAGGGATGTCCTATTGCCTGCTTAGGCCTGGTCCTACCAGGATTGGCTTAAATGGGAAGTTGGACATCCTTCGAGGGGTCCCAGATTGGAGAGGGTAAAGGCACACACTCTCATGCACAAATTTCATGGCACTGGGACTCTAGTGTGTGTGTGTGTGTGTGTGTGTGTGTGTATACATACATATATATGTATATATATATTAATACATAAAATTATAAATAAAAAACAGTAAGCTTTATGGTAGAGAAACTGTGGAGATCACTGTAACCAAGTGATGAAGGTTAACATTACAAGGATTAAGACATGATGCACCCAAGAGAGAGACATCACCAAAAATGCATGACCTGAATCTACTGAGAAAACTGACAAATATAAATTGAGGAAAATTATACAAAACAACTGACTTGTATTTTTCTTGTCTTTTTAAAAAAATATATTTTATTTATTTTTTTACAGAGAGGAAGAGATAGGGATAGAGAGTTAGAAACATCGATGAGAGAGAAACATTGATTAGCTGCCTCTTGCACAACCCCTACTGGGGATGTGCCCGCAACCAAGGTACATGCCCTTGACCAGAATCGAACCTGGGACCTTTCAGTCCGCAGGCCGGCGCTCTATCCATTGAGCCAAACCGTTTTTGGCTGACTTGTATATTTCAGGAGTCAAGGCCATGAAAGGAAGGAGCGATAGGAAATGTTAGATATGAGAGGAGACAAAGGAGGCATGACAACTAAAGCAATGTGGGATCCTATTTGGATCTTGGGACCAAAAAAAGGGAATTAGTAGAAAAGCTGGTAAAACCCAAATAAATTCTACAGTTTAGTTAATAGCATCGCAGCACTTAATTTTATAGTCTTTATATACTGGAATTATCTGTACTATTTTTGTAACTTATGTGAGCCTAAAATTATTTATAAGTAAAAAGGTAAAAGGATTCCTTAAGATAGGAATTATTGTTATTCCCATTTTACTTTGAGGAAATTGAGGCACAGAGAGGTTAAATAACTTGTCCTAGTTGGATATAGTTAGTAAGTGATCAAGTTGGGATTTCAGTTCAACCATCTGGTTCTAAACTCCAGTGCTAAAACACTAAACGACACTATCTTTCCTTGATAAGTTTTGTGTAGGTGAAATATTTGCAGAAACTACAGGATACTTAGGTGTTTCACAGACAAAAAGAATAAAAAAAACTAATCACCTCTGGAAAGTAAATCAATGAAATATGTTAGATAAGATTGTTTCTTGGGTATCTTCCAGTAGTGGACTTTTGTAATTTATATGACAAAATTTTCAATACATGTAACTTACAGTTAAGAGAGTAAGATGAGAATTAGTTTTTTAGCCCTTTAGTAATGTCATGCTACTACATTAGGGCACTTACAATGTCATTAGGAGATAGAAACTTTTCAACTCCCTTAGAATCTTCAGGGACCACTGACCTACATGCAGGCTTCTTTGACAAAAACATGGTTATACAACACATGGCCATATTTGGGTTTAAAATAAATATGTTGTCCAGCCAGGTTGGCTCAGTGGTTGAGCGTTGACCTAGGAACCAGGAAATCACATTTTGATTTCCTTGGGATACATGCCCAAGTTGCAGGCTTGATCCCCAGTTGGGGGCAAGCAGGAGGCAGACAATCAATGATTCTCCGCATTGATGTTTGTATTTCTCTTCCTTCCTTTCTGAAATCAATAAAAATATATTTTAAAAATAAAATAAATTTCCTCTTTTTTATGTTTTTTATTTATTTTTAGAGAGAGAGAGGAAAGGAGAGGGAGAGAGAGAGATAGAAACATCCATGTGAGAGGAGCATCATTGATTGGCATCCCTACTAGGGATAGAGTGCAACCCAGGCAGGAATCAAACTGGCACCCTCTTGGCTCCTGGGTTGACGCTCAACCACTGAGCAAAACTGGCCAGGTTAAATCTATCTTAATATGCTTTTCCCCTAGTTATTTCTTTCCTTGTATATTTGAATTCGCAGTCTTTTAAAAATCATTCCATATTAATTGCTTTATTAAAATTGGGAAGTTACACATTTTTAAAAATTTTTATTTAATTACTAGCGGCCCAATGGATGAAATTTGTGCAATGGTCTGTGCCCTCAATAGCTGCGGTGGCTTGCCTTGGCCCTTGCAGCCTTGGCTTCTTCTGGAAGGATGTTTAGTCTAATTAGCATATTACGCTTTTATTATTATAGATTGACCTAGAATTTGTGGCATGCAGCCGTGACTTATAAAAGTCAAATATCAGCCGAAACCGGTTTGGCTCAGTGGTAGAGTGTCGGTCTGTGGACTGAAAGGTCCCAGGTTTGATTCCGGTCAAGGACATGTACATTGGTTGTGGGCACATCCCCGGTAGGGGGTTTGCAAGAGGCAGCTGGTCGATGTTTCTCTCTCATCGACGTTTCTAGCTCTCTATCACCCTTCCTCTCTGTAAAAAATCAATAAAATATATTTAAAAAAATAAAATAAAAGTCAAATATCAGCCCTAACCGGTTTGGCTCAGTGGATAGAGCATAGGCCTGTGGACTGAAGGGTCCCAGGTTTGATTCCGGTTAATGACATGTACTTTGGTTGTGGGCATATCCCCAGTAGGGGGGTGTGCTGGAGGCAGCTGATGGATTGATGTTTCTCTCTCATTGATGTTTCTAACTATCCATCTCCCTTCCTCTCTGTAAAAAAATCAATAAAATATATTAAAAAGAAAAAAGTCTACCATTATTTGATTCTTCCCTTCTGCAAGGACTTTAGAACTTTATATTTACTACTCCTTCTTTTGACTTTGTATACTATGTGTATTTTAATTGTGTGTGTGAGTGTATAAAGCCCTATACGATGCTATTTTAAACGATGATTATGTAGATATTTTTATAAGGAAAAGGTTTTACTGAAGTACAATATAATAGAAAAGTATGTAAGTTATAAGTGTACAATTTGAGAAATTTTGCTAGTCAAATTTCCATCCTGACAAAATTTATTTCTTACTGTAAATTAGTAAATTTAGTGTTCTGGTTTTAACCTTGATTTCCTGAGTAATATTTTAAATATGTCCCTCTGAGCTGTATCTATTTTCATTTTTCCAAGAATGCAAGGATGTTGCAGGCTATTGTCTTCCAGAATCTGACTACTTTAATAGTTAATGCTGTCAACTTGAAGTTTCTTTCATTGATTAATTTTATTCAGTGCCAGGCAGGGACCAACACTGTTAGTATATCCGTGAGGAAGACAAGATGATCTGTATCTTTTCCTTTGTAAGTTGGGGAGATAAATTAGTAAATAAACGCATAAACAAGATAATTGGAGATAAGTGTTTTATTTGCAATTAAAAAAAATTTTTTTCCCCATAAGAAAAAGTGGATCAGGCCGAAACCGGTTTGGCTCAGTGGATAGAGCGTGGGTCTGCGGACTGAAGGGTCCCAGGTTCGATTCCGGTCAAGGGCATATACATTGGTTGCGGGCACATCCTCAGTAGCGGGTGTGCAGGAGGCAACTGGTCGATGTTTCTCTCTCATCGACGTTTCTAGCTCTCTATCCCTCTCCCTTCCTCTCTCTGGAAAATCAATAAAATATATTTAAAAAAATAAAATAAAATAAAGAAAGAAAAAGTGGATCAGGATTTTTTTTCTATGTTAAAATTTTACACTTAGACTTACAAGTTTTTGAGTAAAGTTAATGACGGTAAAGTAAGACTCATGCTAGTACTTTACATGTTCTTTTTTTTTTTTAGTGTATTTTTATTGATTTTACACAGAGAGGAATTGAGAGGGACAGAGAGTTAGAAACATCGATGAGAAAGAAACATCGACCAGCTGCCTCTTGCACATCCCCCACTGGGGATGTGCCCGCAACCAAGGTACATGCCCTTGACCGGAATCGAACCCGGGACCCTTCAGTCCGCAGGCCGACGCTCTATCCACTGAGCCAAACCGGTCCCGGCTCCATGTTACTTCTTCCTTTCCTTTTTTTAATCCTGAGCAGAGGATATTTTTCCATTAATTTTTAGAGAGAATGGAAGAGAGAAGGAAAGACTGAGAGAAATTTTGATGTCAGAGGAAAGCATCAATTGGTTGCCTCCTGCACTAGCCCCTTCGAGGGCCAGGGCTGAGGATGAGCCTGCAGCCAAAGTACGTGCCCTTGACCCGAATGGATTGGAATCTAGGACCCTTGGGGACACAGGCTGGCACTCTGATCACTGAGCAACACTGGCTAGTGCTCCATGTTAACTTCTTTCTCATTGATAAACAGTCTATAATAGTTCTTGTAGCCCTCATACTTCTCGGACTTTAGTCTTCATATTTTCAGGGATTATGTATTCATTCATTGAATTAAGTAGACCTGAACTTCAGTTTCTCCAGGTTTCTTTCCAGGAAGTTAATTATAATTGCTTCATGGTCTAATCCTAGTTCTTTTTGTTAGGATTAGATATCTAATTTGCCTTTTTGTGAATTAGGGATATCAACATAATTGTTTTTCTCCATCTTTTATCTTTTATCTTCATTTTCCTCAACTCTTAACTAAATAAATATTTTTGTGCTTTTAATTTGAGAAACAATCTGTTTAATTAGGGAAAAAAACAATTTCACTAACTTGGGGCTTTGTATTTTTTTTCAATATTGTTAGAACCTTTGCAGATTTTCCATTGAATTAATTGCAGTTCTTTGTAAAAGTATTTTTCGAGAACCCAATGTAATGTGTTAACTGATTGATTTTTTTTTCCTTTTAATTTCAGTTGGAAAGACATCCTTGATCACCAGATTCATGTACGACAGTTTTGACAACACCTATCAGGTATTTTGTTTTTGCCAACTTACTAGTTATCTCTATTTTGTATGTTATAAATAGTATACGGTGTCCCCACAAGAATATATATACTCTTAGAACAATAATTAATTCCAGTGGGTTAAATCTGAAAAGAAACATCAGTTGAGCTATCTATTTTTAGTAATATTTACATTTTTTGGGACACCCTGTATTTATGGTGCTTTTAAAAATTTCACATGCAGTCATGGAAATAAAAGCACTTTGTAAAATGTAAAATGCTATAACATATAAAGTATAACTGATTTTGCTTATTGTTTTTGACTTCTTTATGTGACTTCTGTATCTCTTCCAAAGTATATTGAATGATTATTGCTAATACCATCTGGGCTAGAAGTAGGAATGATTGTAAATATTCTCTTATAGAGATTTTGTTCTAGTCTAGGATTCTGTGACATTTTGACCTATACTTGAAGTCAAAAAATAAGGAGCTTGGGAAATTCACCAATATTTGGAAATTAATACATTCCTAAATAATCATTGGATCAAAGACAGAATCACAAGGGAAGTTAGTAAATATTTTGAGACAAATGTAAAAGAAAACAGAATATATCAAAATTTTTGGGATTCAGCTAAAACAGTGCTATAAGGAAAATAAAAATATTAAATCAATAATTTAACCTACTACTGTAAAAAACTAGAAAAAGAAAATCTAAATCTAAAGCAAGCAGTAAGAAGAAACTTTTAAAATGTAGGTTTTATTTTTATTCATGTATGGTGAGGCTAACAGATAGGGGATTATTGCCATTGCAAAGATCTGTTGTACTCACAGATCCCAAGAGGAGGATGATACTCCATGCCATGGGAGGGAGGCACATAAGGAAGCTCTTGAGTTGGTTAGAAGGGAAGGAGTGGGAACTGGGAAAAGTGGGTAAGAGCCTTTATTGTGGCTTCTGTGAGAAGGATAGGAGAGACCAGGTAAGCAGATTTAGGATTGCCTGGTTTGAATAATTTCAGTGAGTTTTGGAGTGCAGGAACCATTCCTAGTTGTCTGGTACCTGGCTCTGGAATGTTTAGGGCTAGGGAATAGTGGCCCTGAATGAGATACATGAAGTGGTTGGAATTACAGGCTCTAAATTGGTTGGTTTGCACGTTAAAGGTGTTTTTACAGCAAGTTTACTGTTTCTAGGAATTGTGGCATTCAGCTGTGACTTAGAAAAGTCTACTATTAGCCCTCACCGGTTTGGCTCAGTGGATAAAGCGTTGGTTACTTATCTGTAACCATCCAGATTACAACTCTTCACATCTATAAGAGACAAACTCAGGGGGCAGACTCAGCACCAAAGCCACACTGAAGCAAGGCCTGCCCCAAAAGGATGTCTCCAGCACAGAAGTTCTCCCATTGTGTAGACACAACTGGTCCTAATTGGTCTGGAGGTCAATTCCTCCCAGTCTTACCAACAACAATCAAGGCTTAACTACAACAAGACTGTGCACACAGCCCACAAAGTGGTGCATCAAGAGTATCCACCTGAGGTGGTTAGGGTGGCTGAGCCACTGGGCCCTATAGTATACCTAGCATGCAAAGCCACTCTATCAACACAGGGAAGCAGCCAAAATGTGGAGACAAAGAAACCTGTCACAAATGAAAGAAATGGAGGAAAGCAAACTACGGGATACAGAGTTCAAAACCATGGTTATAAGGTTATTCAAGAATCTTCTAGAATCCTCTGAGAAACATAGTGAGACCCTCAATGATATGAAAAAGGACCAATGACTGAAATAAAGAGTAATATACAAAGATCCAACAGCAGACTAGAGGATCCCAAGAATCAAGTCAAAGAGTTAAAATATGAAGAAGAAAAAAACACCCAACAGGAAAAGCAAGAAGAATTCAAAATTATGAAGATAGTGCAAGGAGCCTCTGGGACTTTAAGAGTACCAACATCCAAATTATGGTGGTGCCAGAAGAAAAGAGAGAGCAAGATAATGAAAATCTATTTGAAGAAAAAATTACCCTACCTAGTGAAAGAAATAGACTTACAAGTCCAGAAAGTGCAGAGAACCCCAAACAAGAGGAATCCAAAGAGGACCGCACCAAGACACATCATAATTAAAATTCCAAGAGCAAAAGACAAAGAGAGAATATTAAAAGCAGCAAGAGAAAAGCAGATAGTTACCTATAAAGGATCACCCATACGATTGTCAACTGATTTCTCAACAGAAACCATGCAGGCCAGATGGGAATGGCAAGAAATATTCAAGGTGATGAATAGTAAGAACCTACAGCCAAAAATACTCTACCCATCAAAGCTATCACTCAGAATCGAAGGCCAGATAAAGAGCTTCACTAATAAAAAAAAAAGCTAAAGGAGTTCATCATCGCCAAACCAGAATTATATGAATTGCTAAAGGGGGTTATTTAGGAAGAGGAAGAAGATAAAGATAAAAATTATGTACAACAAATACGTAACTATCAACAAGTGAAACTAAAAACCAAGGGAATTAAAAAATCTGATGAACAATATTAACTGTTGAATATAATAGAATCAGAGGTATGGAAGGGGAGTGTACTGACCCTTCTCGGGAAAAGGGGGAGTCGGGTTGCAGGAAGAGACTGAACAAAAACTGTACACATATGGATGAGGACAATGCGGGGTGGGGAAAGGACAGAGGGTGGGGTGGAGGGGCGCAATTGAAAGGGGGGGGAGAGGAACACATTTGTAATAATTTGAACAATAAAGATTTATTTTAAAAAATAAAAATAAAAATTATTTTTGGCTGTATTTAACAAACTTAATAACAAGTGACATGAGAATTATTTTTAGGTGAAAGAGAGTTTATCAGTGAAGGAGTGGGACAGAGAAAGTTACTCCATAGACAGAGCAGCTGAGAACTTTTTTTTTAATGTAAAATAATTCTAGAGGAAGGGTAGTTCAGGACGTGTGTGGTAGCTCCATGATCATCTGGACCAAGACTTCTCCTAATTTTCTGTTTAAACAAACAGATCTAATATGACTTTCATATTGAAGTTTGCCTCATGAATATTGAATGTTCTGTTATCCACAATCCAGGCAGGAAGGAGAAGTAAGACAAAACTAAGGGGTTTTGGAAAATATTTTTTTGATGGACAAAGTATGGATTTAAATAAATGTTTGTATTAAGGAATAAGGGGAAGATGGATATTTGTATGGGAAATTAGCTGCTTCTACCATAGTGAGTAGATGAGGTTCTCCTGATGAGGTTTCTTAAATATAGCCATATTTCTGCCCTACCTGGTTTGGCTCAATGGATTGAGGTTCGGCCTGCGGACTGAGGGGTCTCAGGTTCAATTTGGGTCAAGGGCATGTACCTTAGTTATTCCCCTTCTTTCTTAATAACACAAACATTTATTTAAATCCATACTTTTTCCATTAAAAAATATTTTCCCGTTTTCTCAGAGTTTTAAATAAATGGAGCTCTCTGAATGGGCAGGTGTACCCTTGGTTTTGTCTTACTTCTCCTACCTGCCTGGATTGTGGATAACAGAACTCTAGGAAACATCAATCAGGAGGTAGCTGATTGATGTTTCTTTCTCATCGATGTTTCTGGCTCTCTGTCCTTCTTCCTTCTTCTCTGTGGAAAATCAATAAAATATATATTTTTAAAAATGTAGCCATAGTTGAAACCGGTTTGGCTCAGTAAATAGAGCATCAGCCTGCAGACTGAAGGGTCCCGGGTTCGATTTTGATCAAGGGCATGTACCTTGGTTGCAGGCACGTCCCCAGTGGGGGGTGTGCAAGAGGCAGCTGATCGATATTTCTCTCATTAATGTTTCTAACTCTATCCCTCTCTCTTCCTCTCTGTGAAAAATCAAAATATATATTTTTAAAAATGTAGCTATATCTCATTCCTGTACATTCTTCAGGTTTGTCAAGTAGATACTCTTGCACAGTAAGTTCAAGTTTATAAACTTGTTGTCCCATCATATATCCATTCTCAGATGGAATGTCATAAAATGGAATTAATACTTTGCTTATATGTACTTAAGCCCTAAATTAAGAAACGTAATTGAAATATATAGACACATAGCTTAAGATAAAGGAGAAAACTTCTTTGTGTATGTGTTTTTTATTTTTATTATTATTTTTTTAAATATATTTTATTGATTTTGTACAGAGAGGAAGGGAGAGAGATAGAGAGCTAGAAACGTCCATGAGATAGAGTCATTGATCAGCTGCCTCTTGCACACCCTCTACTGGGGATGTGCTCGCAATCAAGGTACATGCCCTTGACCTGAATCGAACCTGGGACCCTTCAGTCCCCAAGCCAACGCTCTATCCATTGAACCAAACCGGTTTCAGCTGTGTATGTGTTTTTTAATAAAAGTCTCTGTGTAACTGAAATCTACAAAACACTGTTCAAAATATTAGACCTAAGTAAATGGGGAGACATCCCAGGTAAATGGATTGGAAGACAATATTGTTAGATGTCAGTAGTAATTACCCAAAGCAGTCTATAGATTCACTGCAATTCTTATAAAAATCTTTGCCGCCAAAGCCGGTTTGGCTCAGTGAATAGTGTCGGCCTGAGGACTGAAAGGTCCAGGTTCGATTCCGGTCAAGGGCATGTACCTTAGTTGCAGGCACATCCCCGGGAGGGGGTGTGCAGGAAGCAGCTGGTCAAAGCCTCTCTCTCTCTCTCTCTCTCTCTCTCTCTCTCTCTCATCAATGTTTCTAGCTCTCTATCTCTCTCCCATCCTCTCTGTAAAAAAAATCAATAAAATATATTTTAAAACATTTTTTTGGTAGAAATTAAAGAGCCCATCCTGATTTGCAGTAGCCAAACAGCCAAAAGAGATTTTCTCACAAAGTTAAATACAATTATGGCCCAGCAATTCCACTCCTAGATATAAACCAAGGATAATTGAAAACGATTTCACAATAGCCCACTCCGGGCCTCTGGGCAGTGTGGGAAGGCGGAAAGGTGGCTCTGGGCTGGAATGAAAAGGCAGCTTTGGCCAGAGCGAAGGTGGTGCCGGCAGCCAGGGGAAGGAAGGCCCATTCTTGCATCGGGCCTCTAGTTTAAAAATAAAACCTATTTTTAAAAATGTATCGGTGTCAATGTAAGTTTATCAATTACAATAGATGTAACATTCTGGTGGGTAATGTTGATAATAGAGAATGCTATACATTTTGGGGAGTATATCTTCCTTTCAATTTTGCTGTGAACTTAAAACTATACAAAATAAAGTATTTTTTATTTTTAAAAAAGTGGTTAAGATATATATCTAATAAGCGTATATTAGAAAGAGCTTTTATTCCCAACCATACAACAGAAGTTTTGTTTCCTTAGATAAGTTACTTAATTTCTCGCAACTCCAATATTGTTATCTATACAATGAGAAAAACAGGGCTAATGATAGTTACCTTATAGAGATTTATATTTAACTTATTTGTTTTGGTTTGGTTTACAGGCAACAATTGGTATTGATTTTTTATCAAAAACAATGTACTTGGAAGATCGAACAGTGAGTAATGTTTTCCATGTGCAATTTTCTTCAACACTCTAGGATAGAAAGTGATGATCAAGGTATAATCAATGATTGTCATCCTAGAAAGTACTTAGCAAACTTGCCTAAGTTAATTTACAGGTCTTGAGAAAAACTTATTACAGATTGCGTAGGTCTTAGCACTCTGACTTCTTAACCCCAAGTGAAATCCAAAAATGAGAGAAAGCCAAGTTATTTATAAAACCCTGAAGGCCCTAGGCTTGTTAACAGAATTCGTCATCTTGATTTAGAAAAAATGGTAACAAATATAGCATTGAGATATTTAAAGCTGCTATAGACCTTTTGAATGCACTAGGAAAGATTTCATTTGAATTTGACAAAACTTGTGAACTTCAAGGTTTTATTTGTCAGAATATGATATATGCCAAAGTGAATAGAAAATGGTTAAAATGTCAAATTTTAAATAGAAAGAATGTGTATTTATTTGTTGGATTTGTCTTCCATCTTTAGGAATGTTCCCTTTAAGTACAATATAAATTCTGTATTGTAATCTACTATCTCTTGAAGATTTCTTATCATCTAAACAGTGACTGTCTTAAATACAATATTTTGGGATCTATACCCCAAAACATTTTATATCTAAAGCTGTTTCTTATAAGTGTGTGTTTTCTTTCGAATATTTTCTTTTATGTTTTAATATAGTAGCATGCCATTTCTTAAAATTTGAAAGCTTAGAAACAGCTTTATAATGGTAAAATAACTTAATGCCTGTTTTCAGGCTTTTCTTTCTCAAATGTAAAAAGTAAAAAAGTAAAATTTTTATGTAGGGTTGCAAAAAGATAATCCTCTTTTTTGTTAGATTATATACAGTGTTCTGGGAAGAAGTGTGTGGGAGAAACATAAGCACAGTAGCCAGAGACCCAATTTCAGAGTGTTCCAGACCCAATAGAAAAGAGACACATTTTAGCTTCAGAGAGGCTTTCTGAGAAGCATTAATTCCTTTTTTGTGATAGCCTGTGCTGCTCATTGACTTTTCCCTTTTATGCTTACTGTTTGAACATGAACAAAGTCTTACTTTTTGCTATCCAAAAGGCATAGGATTCAAAAAGAGGTTATAAAGAGGGGGGTGGAGGTGGGGGAGGAAGGAAGCTGTATTTCTGATTCTGTAAAGAATTTGCCATTGCCATTTTTAAGTCATGTATTTTCAGATACATTTTTATATTACTCTCTTTTGGAAAAGGAAAGTTTTGTGTTTTCATTCCTCACATCCCTGCAACCTTTTGCATGAGTCTTTGTTTTACCTCCTTTCTACCCCCTTTAAAAAACATCATTTCTTTTTTATTTTTAGTATGAATTTTTTTTTTTTTTATTCATTTTTTCCCATCCCACAGATCAGGCTGCAGCTGTGGGATACTGCGGGTCAGGAACGTTTTCGTAGCCTCATTCCCAGTTACATCCGTGATTCTGCTGCAGCCGTAGTAGTTTACGATATCACAAGTAGGTATTTTGCAATGGGTTGACCTTCTTGCTTGTTTGACTGATTTTGTTGTTAGGTACGATTGCAATTATGGGACACAGCAGGTCAAGAGCGGTTCAGGAGCTTGATTCCTAGCTACATTCGTGACTCCACTGTGGCAGTTGTTGTTTATGATATCACAAGTGAGTGGGGGGGAATTATGCATTTCTAATCTTCTTTCAACCTGTAGCTTAGCTGTATGCATGTTCTTGTCTTGTGCTTGTTTTCAATACTGGCATGCAAAAATGAGTTTAATCATAGCAAACCTTTTCACAGATTGGCTAGGTCAGAAATATTTGCTTGGTGTTTGTACAAATACCATTTATTTCTACTGTGCCACATTTTTTGTCCTGGAAATTTTCCTTTGGTTTCAATTATGAATCCTCTCCAAGGCTTTCTTAATATCCTATTATCCCTAAGTCACATCATAATTATGGTTGGAAGAACATCTTCTTTTTTATTTAACTTGATCTCGGACTTCTCTAAAATAAAGTAAATCTGCATTTAAGCCTCTTGCCAAGTTTTCCTAATCTTCCAAGGCTTCTGTTGAGGCTATTAAAAACTTCTGCTAGCCTATTTTTCTCTGCTTTCCCTTTACAGCCATTCTTTTTCTATAGAGGAAGGCAGAGAAAACATAATGTGCCATCTTATATTAATCTTTCATTTGAATATCTGGATTATATGATTGGCTTGCTTTGTTGCTAACAAATTACACTTTCATTTCTCCCCAAGAAAATAAATAGGAGACTAAAGTAATGTTCTTCCTTTTTATTTTCCCTAGAAACTGAATAATGCCTTTAGAATTTTATGTGACTTTAAATGTTCCATGGAGCATTGGTGACTGATAAGGAAATGCTCTTTGATTAAAATTATCTTTGTAAATTGTTTTTAAAAATATATTAGGCAATATTAAGTATCATTCCATCTAGTGGTCCATAACTTATAGAAAAATCAGAGGCCTTTAAAAACATAGGAACAAACATATTGATTTGAGTGAGTAATAATATTCTCATACATTTTTACATAACTGCTCAACCAGAAGTCCTATCTACTTAATAATTGCAATATTATTGCAGAATTATAAATTACAAGTTTGCATTCAGAGACTTTTTTTTTTTTGGTTAGGTGCTATATGCCATCTTTTCTTGAAGCTTTACTTTGGGTTGCTACTTGTTTAAAAAACTGTACGTTCATTATTGTGCATTGACATATTTTGCAGCTTTAAAATGTTTGTGCTTACTTTAACCAGATCAAGTGAATTGTATGTATTTTTCTTTAATAATTATGCACATGAGGTTAAAATATTAGTAAACGATTTTCTTTAGCTACTATAAAAATATTGAAGTATTCTACTTAGAATCTAATGCTAGAAAAGATGGATTTTTTTAAACAAGTGATTCTGGTGCATTAAACAAACTTCAAGTTAAAGTGATCACAAACTGAATAAGAATGCAAATAGAGTGGTGTTGAAAGCTATTTAAAGTCTTTCTAAATTTTCTGGATGTGTTGGGTCTTACTGGCTGACATACTTTTGGAGATGCTTTCTTTGTCATGTTTGGTATGTGAAAGTAATAAAAAAAAAAAAAAAACATTGTGGCAATGTAACACCATATTATCTGCCATAGCTGTCCTTATATTAAAAAATATTTTTCAATTACATATAGTACATTGCACTCATTTAGTTGTGTTCAACATTTTAAACCACTAATAAAGGGAACATTGAGGATTTTATATTTGTGATTTGTTTAGACTATTGACAGTTATACTCAGATAAAATGGAGTTATGTTAGAGGCACATTAAAATTGGGTCCTAATGTGCCAGCCTCCTTCCAATTTCCAGGGCTTTTTTCCCTCCCTCCCTCTCTCTCTCCCTTCCCTCCTTCCTTCGTTTATATTTCTTCTTTATTTTTTGGTCCATCATGGGGGGAGGCATTTATAATAACATTGATGTCTCTATCCACCCTTTTATACCAGATGTTAACTCATTCCAGCAAACTACAAAATGGATTGATGATGTCAGAACAGAAAGAGGAAGTGATGTTATCATCATGCTAGTAGGAAATAAAACAGACCTTGCTGATAAGAGGTACAGAGTGATTTTGTATGTATATGAAATGTTTGGTTTATTTAAGTAGTTTGTTACATTTATTTATTTATTTATTTACTTACTTATTTATTTTTACTGTTTTTTTTTACAGAGAGGAAGGGAGAGGGATAGAGAATTAAAAACATCGATGAGAGAGAATCATCGACCAGCTGCCTCCTGCACCCCCTCCCCCCCACCGGGGATGTGCCCGCAGCCAATGTACATGCCCTTGAGCGGAATCGAACCTGGGACCCTTCAGTCCTCAGACCAGCGCTCTATCCACTGAGCCAAACCGGTTTCGGCTAAGTAGTCTGTTACTTTTAATGTTACTGAAGAATTGTTTTTAAAATAACGTATTAAATCTTTACGTTTATTACCCCCTCCCCCTTTTCTTCAGTGTAGGAACCTAAAATATAAAACATTAATCTCAGCCCTTAAATGAAAATGAGTATTTTTGTTTATAAAAGCCCATGTATAAGTAACTCTTGTGCAAGATTTGTTTACATATAAAGCTAAGTTTTGCATTTATAGGCCTCATAAATATGAGCAGCGTTCTGTTAAGGAATAAAATGTTTCCCCTAGCTGGTTTGGCTCAGTGGATAAAGGATCAGTCTGGTCAGGGCACATGGGTTACGGTCTCCATCCTCAGTAGGGAATGTGCAGGAGGCAGCTGAACAGTGATTCTCTCTCATCATTGATTTTTCTATCTCTCCCTTTCCCTTTCTTTCTGAAATCAATAAAAATACATTTTTAAAAATTATTAATAATAACGAAATACACACTCTTTTGGTAGTCTTCTTATAAATATTAATTATAATTCAGTGGTGTGGTTTTTTTTCTTTTTTAAGTTGTATGGTTGAGCCAGACTATGTAGTTGAACTGAATAGTTTGATTGTGATACCTTAGTCAAACGAGGAAAGCCATATTCAAGTCATAGGATGCAAAATCTATTAACATTCACTGTCAAACCCATGGCTTCAATATCTGCTTTTAGCATTCCTAAATAATCTTGATATTCTTTCTGCTTTAAATAGTCTTCACCATTTTATTTAATAGTATAAGCTTTTACTACTTATTACTTGTTCATGAGTCATATTGAAATTCAGGTAATAAACTTGTGCTGTTAATTAAAATGTTGCAAAGAAATCCACTATGTTCAAAGATTTGTGAAAATGTTAAGCCCATTGCTGGCTAAGGTACTTCATTTGGAATTGGCAGTACATTGACAGAAATTTTATAATAACTTAAAAGTAAATTCAAAGTATGTTTTCATCTTTTTAAAATTCTTACCCGAGGACATTTTTCCATTGATTTTCAAAGAGAGTAGAAGGGAGGGGGAGAGACAGAGAGAGAAACATTGATGTGAGAGAGAGACATCAATTATAATAGTTGCCTCCCGTAAGCGCCCCGATCAGGGCTGGGGATTTAGCCTGTAACCGAAGTAACTGCCCTTTATTGGACTCAACCCTGGACCCTTTGAAAGTCCACCGGTCAATTCTTTATTCACTGAGCCAAACCAGCTAGGGCTAATCTATTCTTTATGAAAAGTTAAATGTCACTTTCTTTGAGAATTACCCTTTTGGGAATAAAAACATGAAGGAAAGGCTAGAATATATTTTTTAGTGTCTCAGTTTAAGCACCTAGATGTTCAATACTCTCTTTCCTATAGTCCAGTGATCCCCAAATGTTTCAAACCTGGTAATATGGCTTATTAGAACCTCTTTAAAGATACTGATTATAGCCGAAACCGGTTTGGCTTAGTGGATAGAGCATCGGTCTGCAGACTGAGGGGTCCCAGGTTCGATTCCAGTCAAGGACATGTACCTTGGTTGCGGGCACATCCCCAGTAGGGGGTGTGCAGGAGGCAGCTGATCAATGTTTCTCTCTCATCGATGTTTTCAACTCTATACCTCTCTTCTTCTCTGTTAAAAATCAATAAAATATATATTTTTTAAAAAGATCCTGGCTATAAAAGATCATGGTCAATTTTTTAAAATTTGGGCGGTTTTAACCCTATTTCTAGGTACTATGACAGTCTAAAATAGGGCCCTTGGAAATCTATTTTAGGGAGTTTTCCTTAGTGATTGTGACAAAATCAAACCACAATTGGGGTCATTGTTATAACTAACATTCAACCATTTTATTAGGGTTATTTATAGTTCTGCAACTAAAAATAGTTTTTTTGTCTGGAATCCTTCACATGTAGGGTTTACAGAGTAATAATCATTCAAGAAGTATTTATTAAATATCACTTATATTTCAGAGGATGATACTCTAGAGTAGTGAACAAAATAAGACAAGTCTTCACGGAGTTTTTATTTCATAGAGTGAGCCACACAAAATAAAGCAGGGAAAAGGAATATGAAATGTCAAGGGTGAGTTTGAAATATTAAATGACATAGCAGTAGAAGATCTCACTGAGAGAAAGACTGGTGACTTTTGATTAAAGACACTAAGGAAATTAACTGTGCAGATATTTTAAGGAGGAAAGCCCCGAGGCAGATGGCTCAAAATGCAAGATCCCTGAATTGTGACTATTCTTAGCTTTTTTGAGGAACAGCAAGGAGGCCTATATAGCTGGTTAAAGAATGATGGAAAGAATAATAGGCAATGAAGTTAAAAAAACACACACACAGTAAAGAAGGAAGGCCAGGTCATGTAGGGCAAACCTTGTCTAGTGATCATTGGTCAAATTCAGATATATTTTGAAGATAGAACTTTCAGGATATATTGATACAATGGATGGAATATATGCTGATGGATGGAATATGGGGGTTGAGAAAAGGAAAAGGATGACACCTATATTTTTGGTCTGAGTAACTGTCATTAATTGAGATAGGAGAGACTGCATAAAGAGTGCTTTGGAATATAATATCATAACTTCAGTTTTGGTCATTTTAAATTTATAATGGTTATTAGATATCATAATATCTTATTAGGTGTCAGGTAGGCAGTTGGATATGAGTCTAGAGTTCAAAGCATGGTCTTAGATATGTAAGTTTGGGAGTCTTCAGCATATAGATGGTACTTTAAACCATGAGACTGTGTGGGATCATCAGGGGTACTAATTGTAGATAGGAAGTTTGAGGGTCACTTATTATTATTATAGAATTTTTTTAAAAAATATGCTTTTATTGATTTCAGAGAGGGAGGGAGAGATAGAAACATCAATGATGAGAGAGAATCATTGATTGGCTGCCTCTTGCACACCTTACACTGGGGATTGAACCCACAATCTGGGCATGTGTCCTGACTGAGAATCGAACGGAGACCTCCTGTTCAACCATTGAACCATGCTTGCTGGGCTGACAATTATTTTTAGGAAATCCACACTCTTAAGCATTCGAGGCTAAAGGTTTATTAGATTGTCAACTTTCGCTGAAACTGGTTTGGCTCAGTGGATAGAGTGTCAGCCTACGGACTGAAGGGTCCCAGGTTCGATTCCTGTCAAGGGCATGTACCTTGGTTGCGGGCATATCCCCAGTAGGGGGTGTGCAGCTGATGGATGTTTCTCTCATAGATGTTTCTAACTCTATCCTTCTCCCTTCCTCTCCGTAAAAAATCAATAAAATATATTAAAATAAAAAAAGATTGTCAACTTTCAAATTGTTAAGAAAAAGTGTGTTATTTAATTTTATATACATACACAAATTTATAGAGCTAAACATCTATGTTGCCAGCTAGGTACTTGGAACATCAAGATAAATGAAATAATCTTATACTTGAAGAGCTTACAATTTGAGACACTACTAATTATTATCACAAAATGTCCTCTAAAATAAGTATTGAAGTATTAAACTATGTATCAAGAGACTTCAACATAAATGTATGGTTTTTTTAACCTCACCCTAGGATATTTTTACCCTATTGATTTTTAGAAAGGGTGGAAAGAATGGAGGTGGGAGGTAGCAGGGGGATGCGTACACAACGATGTGAGAGACACACTGATTGGTTGCCTCTTGCACACTAACTGACTGGGGCCAGGGAACGAAACTACAAACCAGGTACATGCTCTGAACGGGAATCAAACCTACAATTCTTCGGTGCATGGGCCTACATCCTAACCATTGAGAAACACTGGCCAGGGCCAACATGCATGTCTTTTGACTTGCTTTTTCACTTGCAGATATTCACAAAATCCAGCCTCCGGAAATGATCCACAGTGCACAAAGTAGTGAGCACAAAGATCTTTATAGCAACATTTTTCATATTAGTTTAGAATTTGAAACCAACTTACATTTTAACAGATTGGGAATGGTTATATAAATTATAGTAGAAAATTGCCCTAACCAGTTTTGCTCAATAGATAGAGCATCAGCCTGTGGACCAAACGGTCCTGGGTTTGATTCTGGTCAAGGATACGTACCTTGGTTGCAGGCGCCTCTCTGGCCTGAATCCTGGCCCAGGCCCTGGCCCAGGCTCATGCAGGAGGCAACCAATCAATGTGTGTCTCTTACTTCAGTGTTTCTCTCTGTCTTTCCCTCTCTCTTCCACTAATATCCTCAGGTGAGGGTTACCAAAAATTAAAAAATAAAATAGATAAAAAATAAATTATAGTAGCAAATTGACAAATGGTTTAGCCATAAAAAATTATTTTACATGAAGTTTTTAATCACAAGATTAAATACTTATGGTCTAATATTAAGAGAAAATAGGCTATTAAGTTTAAAAAAATAAAAAAGTTATAGGATGAGCTCAGCCATGTAAAAGCAAATCATTAAAAAAATGTCTTGATATAACATACACATACAAGTACACAAATTTTAAGTGTACAGCAGATTGAATTTTCAAATTAGTCTTGTCTGTGTAACCAGCACCCATATCAAGAAAAGTTACTTTAGAACTTTGTTTCTAATCTTTATAATAACATCTTTCAAAAAGAAATATTTGGTGTTTTTTTTTATTTTTCTACAGGCAAGTATCAATTGAGGAGGGAGAGAGGAAAGCCAAAGAGCTGAATGTTATGTTTATTGAAACTAGTGCAAAAGCAGGATACAATGTAAAGCAGGTAAGTGTTCTTTGGAGTATTTACCAAATTGAAAACACATATTATGAAATAACTAGAGGCTGGGTGCACGAAATTTGTGCATGGGTACGGGGGGTGGTCCCCTCAGCCCAGCCTGCACCCCCTCCAATCCGGGATCCCTTGGGGGATGTCTAACTGCCAGTTTACAGGATTGGGCCTAAACTGGCAGTTGGACATTCCTCTCACAATTTGGGACTGCTGGCTCCTAACTGCTCACCTGCCTGCCTGTCTGATTGCTCTAACTGTCCCTCCTTCCCCCCCGCCAACCTGATCACTCCTAACTGCCTCTGCCTGCTGGCCTGATTGCCCCCAGTTGCTCCCCCTTGCTGCCTGATCGCCCCTTACTGCCCCCTGCTGCCAGTCTGGTTGCCACTCACTACCCCTCCTCTCCTCCCCAGCTCCCCTCCCCCTGCCGGCCTGGTCACTCCCAACTGCCCCCTTCTGCTGGCCTGGTCACCGCTCACTTCCCTCAACTGTCCGTGTGTCTGTCATGTGTTGTCGTCCATTCCTCCCCCCCCCAGCTTGGTCACCCCATGTAGCCTGCTGTTCAGTTGTTTGGTTGTACCTCACTAACCTCCCTGCTGGCCTTGTCCCATGCAGCCTGCTGTTTGGTTGTTACTGTGAGGGTGTCCTGACCAATTTGCATATTACCCTTTTATTAGTATAGATTGTGTGAGTATTCTATTCTCTAGTGTAAGGTTTTCTTTCCGTTAGTAACAGTAGGCCTCACGAACTGGTTTATTAAACAGTGAAAAACATAAATATGTGTTTTTGGACAAAGAGAAAAAGACTTACCTAGCTAGTTTTTGGACAAAGAAAAAAAGACTTCTAAACTTCAAATCGTGCACAGGAAAAGTACTTTATTATGATTGTAAGATTGTGTGATTGCAAGGTTGTAAACTCACCATCCTCTCACTACTTCCCTGCTGCATTGTTTCAAGGTAACATTTCTTATTTTAGAGTTTGATAGTAAGATTATGATAAAAGAAAGCAAATATTGCTGTCAGGAATGGTATATTGCTTATTGTGATGAAAGTACATCGAGATTATTTTACTCTTAACAAACTATTAGTGTGTTAACAGTGATTATAAAAGGAGTGTTTGGGTGGGTGGGGGGGGGCAGGAATATATCTGGGGACCTCACATTGTCAAACTTTTCTAAAAGATGAAGTAGCCAAAAACTCACCTGCTTAATTCTTCAGGGCTATATATAATATAGAGTAGTAGTTGAAGATTTATAGTATTTACAGTCTAATAAATTATAATTATTATTTATTTTCACCAAGGATTTTTTTTAAAAAAGAAACATCGATCTGAGAGAGAAACATTGATCAGTTGCCTCCCAGATGCACCCTAACTGGGGATAGAACCCTCAACCTGGGGATGTGCCCTGACCGGGAATTGAACCCAAGAACCTTCAATGTATGGGAAGGCGTCCCAATCAATTGAGCAACCCTGGACAGGGCTAAATTATTATTTTTTATTCTAGGTAATCAGTAGAGGGTTAAAGTAAAATCCTTTAAAATGAGTAAGTAGAGCTTTCTGAAAAACTATCTATATTGTTTTCATTTTAGACACTTATTTCCCAACTCTCCTTGCCTTTAAACATCCTATATAATAAAAGGGTAATATGCAAATTTACTTAACAGCAGAAAGACTGGAAATGACCAGTTGCTATGATGTAACTCACCATCAGGGGCAGATGTTCAACTCAGTAGCTGCCCCCTGGTGGTCAGTGAACTTCCACAGGGCAGCCCCACTCAGCCAGAATCTGGGTTATGGCTGGCAGTGGACGGAGCCTCTCCCACCTCGGCTGCAGCGCTAAAGATGTCGGACATTCCCCAAGGGCTCCCAGGCTGCCAGAGGGATGTCTGACTGCTAGCTTAGACCCGATACCCCCAGGAGCAGGCCTAAGCTGGCAGGTAGAGGGATGTCTGACTGACCGCTTAGACCTGATTCCCTGAGGAGCGGGCCTAAGCCAGCAGGTGGACATCCCCCAAGTGTCCTGGACTGCGAGAGGGCTCAGTCGGGCTGAGGGGACCCGCCCCCCATGAGTGCAGAGATGTTTTCTATGAAGTTCTTTACCATACCTTCAGGCTATTTTAGTGATAAATTACTCTCTTCTGTGTTTTTACAGACACCTGACCCCTGTCATAGAACACAATATGTTGAAATTACCTCTTCCATCAAAGAACTTACCACATTATATTGAAAATATCTCTTCTATCAGAATTGTATATTCCTAGAACATATCAATGTGTATGAAATTTAGCACGTGATAAGTAACTGAGCCTGTAGGAGACATTGACAAAGAATTTGAGTAATAGAAGTTACTACAACATTATCATATGTTACCGTTCTAGGACAAAGCAATAGGTAGCTTCATCTAGTTTTCTCTATTATAGACATTTTAATAAGGATTTAAACCAGTTTATTATATGTCAGAGTATGGCCTTTCCATGGGACATATTCCTGTCTGGGTTAAATCTAAAGCATTTGATCTCCCTAATCCTAATCCTTATTAGCCTCATAGTTTGAAAGTTCTAAAATCATCATCATGACATTTAATTCCTTCTAAATTTAGATAACTCCTTAACAGCTTTAAGTGTAATTTACATCCATACATTTCACTTACGTGTTTTTGTTTTTTTTTTATATATATTTTATTGATTTTTTACAGAGAGGAAGGGAGAGGGAGAGTCAGAAACATTGATGAGTGAGAAACATCGATCAGCTGCCTCCTGCACACCTCCCACTGGGGATGTGCCCTCAACCAAGGTACATGCCCTTGACCGGAATCGAACCTGGGACCCATCAGTCCACAGGCCAACACACTTTCCACTGAGCCAAACCGGTTAGGGCCATTTCACTTGTTTTAAATGTACAGTTCAGTTATTTCTAGTGAATTTACATTGTGCAATCATCAGCATAATTTGATTTTAAATCATTGTTATCTCTAGACACATAATTTTTCCTGAACCTACAGGCAGATGTAGCTAGCCATACAGCTAGAGGTCAGGGTGGAATTAATACTCCTTTTCCAGAAAGAAAATGTCCTGGCAAGGATGCTTCAGAATGCCTATAGAAAGTGGATGCTTAATAAATACTAGTGTGAGGATTTAAAAAATGTTACCTACTATACTGACCCATACTTTATCCTGATATAGCATACGCCTGTTAGTAGTATATCATTGCCATTTAAGAAATGGGTTTGTTTTTTTTAATGATTATTTAAAACAACTTAAACTCCTGCCAAAACTGCAGATTGAAAGGTCCTGGGTTCAATTCCGGTCAAGGGCATGTACATTGGTTGTGGGCACATCCCCAATGGGGGGTGTGCAAGAGGCAGCTGGTCGATGTTTCTCTCTCATCAATGTTTCTAGCTCTCTATCCCTCTCAATGCCTCTCTGAGTAAAATCAATAAAATATATTTTTTTTAAAAATAAAAAATAAAACAACTTAAACTCCTATATATATTATTTCTGTAAGAATAGAACTTGGCTTTTGTAAAGCATTTTCTTGATTCAATTTGAGATGTCCTGAGTTTAGTACAGGTTCGTGACATTGATCCTTTTAATTTAATTGAAATATTTTGAAAGAGAACTAAATTTTTAAAAATACATTAGTTGCCGAAACCAGTTTGGCTCAGTGGATAGAGCGTTGGCCTGTGGACTGAAAGGTCCCAGGTTCGATTTTAGTCAAGGGCATGTACCTTGGTTGCGGGCACATCCCCAATGGGGGTGTGCAGGAGGCAGCTGGTCGATGTTCCTCTCTCACCGATGTTTCTAGCTCTCTATTCCTCTCCTTTCCTCTCTGTAAAAAATCAATACAATATTTTTTAAAAAATACATTAGTTAAAAACTATAGATTAAAAGTTTTTGTCATAGAAAATGGATTGAGTTTTTATGTGTGTGATTTGTTTGTAATAATATTTCACAAAACAATTTCTTCTTACCCAGGATTTTCAGCTTTGCGCAGTATGGTTTAAAAAAATATTTTTTATTGATTTTAGAGAGTAAGAAAAAGAGAGAAAGATAGAAACATCAATGTTTAAAGAGAATCATTGATCGGTTGCCTTCTACCCACCTCCCAATTGGGCAATGAGCCCCCAACCCGGGCGTGTGCCCTGACCAAGAATTGAACCAAGATCTCCTGGTTCATAGGTCGACGTTCAACCACTGAGCCATGCTGGCTGGACTAAATAGGTATTTTAAAATGCTTTCATTATGGTAAGGTCCACGTAAGGAATGACCTATAAGCCATATCCTTGAACACAGCATTTGGTAGTCTTCCACCTTTACTTGATGCCATTTGTTAAATTTTCTCTGCCAATTATCACATTTCTCTCTTCCACAGCTCTTCCGACGTGTTGCAGCAGCTTTGCCTGGGATGGAAAGCACACAGGACAGAAGCAGAGAAGACAGTATCCTTTGTCTTGACAGCTCCACTTGGTTGGCTAAGGAATATTATGCCTTTTATAGTCAAAATAGATGGTTGAAGATCATAGAAATTATGAGGGGTTTTTTTTATAGCAAAACTAGTGGCTTGGTGCACTGATCTGTGCACATTGAAAGGAAAATAATTAGAAGAAATATTTTAATATTGTTATTTGCCCTTTCTCCCTCAGCGCCTGGGAGCCTGGCCCCGCCACCCCAGCCACTCACTGCCTTCAAGGTCAATAGCGCCTATCACCCCCATTGCCACCCTGTCTCCCAGGTGCTAAGGGAGCAGGGCGGAGGTCTCGCTGCCCCTGTTGGTTGCCACCTGCGGGGGCCCAATTACCCCTCAAATTGCCAGTTGCCCTGCTGCCATCTGGCTCCCAGGTGCTGAGGGAGCCAGGTGGTGCCACTGCTGCTGGTCACCCTGGATCGGATCAGCAGGGCATCGGGTCCCCGCCTGGCTCCCTCAGTGCCTGAGAGCCCATTGGTGGCGGGGCCATCAGGTCCCCACCCGGTGACCAGTGGCTCATACCCACCCTGGCCTGGCTCCGCCCACTCACCTGCTACACCATCCCGCCCTGGTCCTACTGTCCTTGGGGCACATCTGGACCTGAGGCAGCTCCACTGCCACCTGCTGCCAGCACAGCATTGCCAACATCTGCCATGTTCCATGCCACCCTCTGGTAGTCAGTGCACATCATAGCAAGCAGTCAAACTCCTGACAGGACTCCCCGTTGAGGGGACAATTTGCATATTAGGCTTTTATTATATAGGATGAGATTTGGTTATCCGCGTGTATACTTGCTCCCCTGCTGCTCACTACAGCTAATCAATGAGAGAATTTGTATTTGCTTGCTTGCTTGCTTGCTTGATTATTTTTATTTTTTTAAAAACTTTTATTTATTTCAGAGAGGAAGGAGAAGGGGAAGAGAGAGAAATAGAAACATCAATGATGAGAAAGAATCATTGACTGGCTGTCTTTTGCTCGCCCCACACTGGGGATTGAGCCCACAACCTGAGCATGTACCTTTGATCAGTATCGAACCTGAGACCCTTCAGTCTTCAGGCCAACACTCTATCCACTGAGCCAAACCAGCTAGGGCTATTTATTTATTTTTAATCTTTATTGTTTAAAGTAATACATATATCCCTTTTTCTCCCCATTGACCACTAATATCCTCCCCCTCCCTTTAGGCCTTTACCACCCTATTGTCTGTGTCCATGGGTTATGCATATATACATACAAGTCCTTTGGTTGATCTCTTTCTAGCCACCCACTCTCCCCACCTCCCCCCTGAGATTCCACAGTCTTGCTTGATTTTTAATGAGTAGGAAACTCTTAGAAATTAAGTATTTTCTTTTTTAAACCTCATACAAGGATTTGATTTTTAGAGAGTGAGGAAGGGAGAGAGAAAAAAAAATCACCATCAATCAGTTGCCTCCCATATACGCTCTAACCAGGGATTGAATTTGCAACCTTTTGTTATACGGGAAGATGCTGCAACCAACTGAGACTTCCACCTAGGGCCCAACCTTCTCCTAAATTTGAGTCCTATCGGCTCTGAACATTTGCCCCACAGTATGTATCATATTTTCTTCCCCTGCTTTTTCTAACATTCAAGTTTTCTATTCGGCATAGGCAGGAAATAACTCTGTCTGGAACTTTATTGTGGCTTCTGCTTTCAGAAACAATACATAATGCACAGGAAATACCATTTTTTCAAAAGATTTTAAATTTTTATATTTTCATTATTTGTTGTATATTTGTCTTCTAGTGTTTTTCTATATATAGACATTTTTATTAAGCACTTTGTGTTCAGCACATCCCTCTTCTAAAAGTTTTGTTTTCTAAGTTTTTATTACTTCTTATAGCATAATGTATTCCACAGAATTAAGTCCCATCATTTATTAAATTCTTTCCCTGTTGTTGGAACTCTCTTGTAGGTTAGTTTCAGATTTTTATTATAGATAATTCCATAAGGAACATCATCTTAATAGGGTTTCTTGCTCCTGCTTAGGGTAGATCCTGTGAATAGAGAGGTTACCCTAGCTGCATATAGTAGAATATAAGCAAATTTATACTATTAGAGCCCTTTGTTGTGTGGGGAGCTAGCTAAATAGTAATAGTGGCTGTTATAATAGGAATGGGAGGAAGGGGTTACCAGAGATATGTGTTCAGCAGAATTGGAATTGTACTTTTCCATTTATAGGTCCTTAACTTTTGTTTCAGTGATTGACATCAAACTGGAAAAGCCTCAGGATCAACCAGTCAGCGAAGGAGGCTGTTCCTGCTAATCCCTCTTGGCCTCTTCACCTTTTCTGCAGAAGCTCACTGCTTTGGCCCCCTTACTCTTTCATTGACTGCAGTGTGAATAATGGCTTAAACCTTTTCCCCTTCAGTAATAATGTATTGCAATTCATCATTGCTGCCTGTCTCGTGGAGATGATCTATTAGCTTCACAAGCACAAAAAAAGTCAGTGTCTATATTATTTATATTTTACAAAAAGTCAATTCCAGCATAATCCAGTGATAATTTTAAACATTAGATACATTTTCTTAACTTTTTTTCCTTTTTAATGTTATGATAATGCATTTCAAAATGATGGAAATCTCAACAGTATGTGGCTTGGTTAAGGAATAGCTGTTCACAGTAGCATTTGCCTACCTACTTGACCTCTCCCTGCTTTTTTCATCTCTCCCTTACCCCATTTCCTATTCTTACTCTCCACTCCTGAAAACAAACAAGAAGTGGCAAAGCATCAGTCAGACCAAGCCCGTTGGAATAATCTTTCAATTTTAGTGATACCACTTGCTTTAGGCCTTGAGTCAAGATGTCCAAAATTATTCTTGAGCACTGAAGTAAATTATTTAGACTTTATTTGAGGTCAAAACTCAATTATCATGGTAGGCAGTACTCGAATAAGTGTTCTGGTGCATCTTTAAATGAGTCCTAATGAACATAGTACTTATGAGTAATGAACAAAATATTTCTGACCAAAACTAAAGACCCTTTCACATGTTAAACTTTGGAAGAGAAAAGTAAAACAGAACAGATTTTTTTTTTTATATATATTTAACTTTTCTAATGAACTGTCTTTTCCAAGATTCTAAAATTGTCAAGATAGAGTTTTTGTTTGTTAAAAAAAAATTTTTTTTAAGTAATAGATTTCTCCTGTTTTTTGTTTTTTTGTTTTTAATCTTGTTTTGTTATTTTTAAATGCTGTGCAGGCAAGGCACTATAGAAATAAAATTCCAAGAAGAACCAGTGAAAATTTAAATTTAGCACCTTGGTCGAAACTATATCCAGTAGAAATGATGATATCTAAAGCTTACCAACAAAAGAATCCTTAACAGAATAGCAAATACTTTGCTCAGGATATTTGGGGTCAGATTGAAAATGGCAGGTTTTCTTATAAGCTTCTAGAGGCAGATCTGGAAAAGCATACACAGAAGAGGGTAAGAGAGAATGGAAATAAAACTCAATATTGCAGATTTATGCCTTATTTTTTAGCTTTTTTAAAATGTTGGGTCTTTCAGGCTGGTTTTGCTTTTTATTAGATCTGTAAAGTTTGGTTAATTAACTAGTAATTTAGTTTTATATTTAAACTACAATTAATCTTTTTCTTTGGTGATATTTATTTCTTTGCCTTTTTTTAAACTACTTTTAATTTTAGATGTTTTGTTTCATATATTTAGAGCTTCGTCACCATGGCAATATGTATTTTCCTTAAAACACTGCAAACAAATATACTAGGAGTGCACCATTTTAATCTTTACTAGTTATTGTGAGATTGCTGTGTAAGTTAAACACATTTGTAAATACATTATTTGCAGGAAGAAATTTTCTGAGTTATAGCTCGGAGAAAAGCCTGCTGAATTTATGTTGTAAGCATTACTTAACACAGTATAAAAATGGAAAAAAACAAAAGTATCTTCATAGTTCCTCATCCCCCTCATTACAACAAAACCCTTAACTAGGAGAACCTTATTCTCCTCTCTTTCTTCTTCCTCCTCCACTTCCCATTTATTATCACCTAATATTCAGAGAGCACTTGGATAATGGGTCTGAATAGAGAAATGTTTTAAGATAATTGTTAGCCCACATACAGTAACTTATACTCAAAGATGGGATGGAGTTGTAAAGTGCTTTTATAATACAATATTATTGTTAAAGGTAAGGGTTGACTCTTTTGTTTTATCTTGACATGGCATGTCCTGAAATAAATATCAATTCAATATGGCAAATGGGTCATATTCTTTATTTGGAAGAAGTTGTGATTTCTGACATAGGGGTGATTGATTTCCTACATTGTAGCATTTGATTCTTTTTATGTATCTTTAAGACAGTAGTAACCAATATGCTGCTTTTAACATTGGTATTTTTATTTAGCTTAGGGTTCTTCAACTGAAGCAGTGAAATGTATTCATAGACCAGATTTTTTTTAATAAACACAATTTTGCTGCCAAAAATATATAAATAAAATACAAAAGAAAACAATTATTGACTTGGTTTCCCATTCCTGCCAAGATTGTAAATTAACATGTGTTCCTTACTTCTCTAGAACTATAAAGGGGAACATATTAATAAAATCTAGGAAAATAAAACAACAAAAAGTGAAGGAGAGTGGCTGCAACTTGAAAAACAGGGCTACTGATGGAGGCAATAATAGGATGTATTAAGAAAAGTTGTTTAAGCCCTGATTGGTTTGGCTCAGTGGGTAGAGCGGTGGCCTGCGGACTGAAGGATCCCGGGTTAAATTCCAGGCAAGGACACATGCCCAGATTGTGGGCTTGATCCCCAATAAGGGGCATGCAGGAGGCAGCTGATCAATCATTCTCTCTCATTTATGTTTCTATCTCTCCTTCCCTCTCCCTTCTCTGAAATCAATAAAAAATATACATTTTTAAAAAAAAGTAATTTAAGCCCTAAACAGTTCGGTTCAGTGGATAGAGCACTGGCAAGTCCAAAGGTTTGATAAGGGTCCAAGGTTTGATACCCCTCAAGGGCACATACCTTGGTTGCAGGCTCCTCCCTCGCCTGGGCCTTGGTCAGGACGTGCAGGAGGCAACCAATCAATGTGTTTTTCTCACATCAATATTTCACTCTGGCCGAAGCCGGTTTGGCTCAGTGGTAGAGCGTAGGTCTGCGGACTGAAAGGTCCCAGGTTCGATTTCGGTCAAAGGCATGTATTATACATTGGTTGCGGGTACATCCCTGGGTGTGCAAGAGGCAGCTGATCGATGTTTTTCTCTCATCGACGTTTCTAGCTCTCTATCCCTCTCCCTTCCTCTCTAAAAAATTAATAAAATATATTTTTAAAAAATATTTCACTCTGTCTTTCCCTCTTCCAGTCTCTGTAAAAATCAATGGAAAATATCCTCAGTGAGGATTTAATAAAAAAGAAAAGTAGTTAAGTTCAGCTTTTGCTTTCTCACTTCTAACCTCATCTTTGCCTTGGGACAAAGATCTTACCACTAAATCCAGCCTGCTACCTGCTTTTTGTTTTGTTTTTATTGATTTTGAGAGGGGGAAGAGGGAAAGGGCAAGGGATGGAGAGAGAAACATAATTGATAGGCTGCCTCATACATTCTGCCTTCTGAGGATCCTGCCCACAATCAGGGCATGTGTCCTAACGGGGAATCAAACTAGTGACCTCTTGGTTCCTGAGTTGATGCTCAATACCTGTTTTTTTTGTTTTGTGTGAGTGTGTGTGTGTGTTTAAATATATTTCTATTGATTTCAGAGAGGAAGGGAGAGAGAGGGAGAGACATCAATGATGAGAAAATGATTGATCTGCCTCCTGCACGCCCCACATTTGGGATCAAGTCCACAACCCAGCCATGTGCCCTGACCGGAATTGAACTGTGACCTCCTGGTTCATAGGTTGACACTCAACCATGGAGCTACGCCGACTAGGCTGCTACCTGTTTTTAAAAGTAAGTTTTATTGGAACTCAGCCATACTTTATCACTACAAAAAGAGTTGAATAATTTACTCTCTGGCCCTTTACAGAAAAAAAGGGCTGATCCCTGCCTTGGCATAAACCATAGCTGTTCCCTTTACTATAAAAACTGAAGCCATAGGCCAGACTACTGGTGCAGGTGTCCACTGGGGTAATATTAGGGCAGTATAAAATACCTAGTTAATGAAAGGACCTGATCTTTCAGTCCTCTCTATCTTTTTCCTTTTAAAACCAGTTAGTGGATATAATCTAGGGAGATTGCCACTAGTAAGAACTGCTTCTTCCTAAACTAGGTTTACAGGTTTCTTTCTCTTAGCATAATGTTTCAGTGTTCATCCATGTTGTACCATGTATCAGAATTTTATTCCTTTTTATGGGTGAATAATATTCCATTGTGTGTATATGCCACATTTTATTTACTTATTCATCTGTTGATGGACATTCACATTTTGGCTATTTTAAGTAATGCTGCTATGAACATTCGTATATGAGTGTCTGAGTCATTGTTTTCAATTTTTTTTTTCTTTTCGTAAAAACAAGTGGAATTGCTGAGAGATATAGTAATTCTATATTTAACTATGTTTAACTTAATCATTAACAAGTCCATTGTCATGAATATTTTCTATGTTTTATTCTAAGAGCTTTATAGCGTTAGGTCTTAAGGTTAGGTCTTAGATCCATTTTAAGTTAATTTTGTATCTAGCTTAAGGTAAGGGTCCAACTTCTTTTTGTTGTTAATCCTCATTTGAGGATATTTTTTTCATTAATTTTTTAGAGATAATAGAAGAGAGGGAGGGAGAGAAAAATATCAATAGGAGACACATCAATTGGTTGCCTTCTGCATGCATCCCGACTGAAGCCAGGCATCGACCCTGTAATCCAGGTTCATGCTCCTAACTGAGTCGAACCTGTGATCCTTTGGTGTGTGGGCTGACCTGCCAGACCTGCCAGGACTCTAACTTCAATTCTTTTGCATGTGGATATTTAATTTTCTTAGCAACATTTGTTGAAAAGACTGTTCTTTCTTCATTGAATTGTTTTGGCACCCTTGATGAAAATCAATTGATAGCCATATATGTGAGGGTTTATTTCTGGGTTGTCTATTTTATTCCGTTGGTCTGTATATCTGTCTGTATGCTGGTACCACACTGTTTTGATTTCTGTAGCTTAGGACAGCAAACTGTTTTATTGCACATCACAATTTTTACAAATTGAAGGTTTGGGGCAACCCTACTTTTTATAAGAGCATTTTTCTAAGAATATTTGCTCACTTTGTGTCTTTATCAAATTTTGGTAATTCTTTACAATATATCATATTTTTCCTTATTACA